TAATGCTTTGAGTTCTTCTTGTTTCTTGGACAACTTTTCTTTGACGTTCTCTTTTAATTTTGGCAAACAACTTTTGATGTGTTCGGTCAAGATTTTCTGAACAGTCTTCGTCAAGTAGGGTATTCCGTGGGAGCGTGCAACCGCTTTGTAATGATTTTGGAAAAACTGAGCTTCTTCTTTCAACGCTTTTTTCATGGGTTTGTTCTCCATGATGTCTCGTTGTGATCGGTTGACGACGCCGATTATACCTAGCTTGACCGGTATGATTTTGCCAGACAGAATGTCCCACGCGTCTGTGCCTTCGTCCATAAGGTCCAGCTTGGTGATGACCGCCAGAGTCCTCTCACCTTCAGGATCCACGTCGCGAGCCAACGCTAAACTCTCGCTAGTCGTCAGGTCCGCATTGGCAGGAGTCACTGCCAGAATTATACAATTTGGGTTCCTAATGTATTCAAGCACCATGTCCCTGGTTTGTTTTTCTATATCGGTTGGCTGGTCCCCAACAGGTATTTTCGTCAATCCGGGAAGATCTACCAATGTGAGATTTAAATACGAGTTGGAGTAAATCTTAAGAGTGATTGGAACATGGCAGATTCCTTTGTTGCTTCCAGCTAGCTTGACGGTTTGATCTTGTATTTCTTTGGAGATCAAGTCGAAGTCCGTGAAGACTTTTGTCTGGTCGTGTTGGAAGATTGCGTATTCATCTACGACTTCAGTGGTCGAATGCACAAGCTGCAGGACAAGAGGACATCTAGTCACTACACCGACTCCTCTGGGTAGGAAGGACTTTCCCACTAGATGTTCCAGGACGGAGCTCTTCCCTGCACTCTGAGAGCCTACCACGACCACCTGCGGCAGGTCGACGACTTGACCACTGACCAGAAACACGTCCTGTAGCTGGTTCACGATCTCCACTAGTTCGTCCATTCTGACTAATTTAAATGAAAAAGTCTCACGTTGCCACTTGCAAACACAAAACAAGATCGTAAACTGTAATGTTGTTTTACTCAACAATAAAGTGTCATGTGTTCATCGTTTCTGTTTACTAAATTTGTAACTGTAAATTCGTTGTAGTTAGATACAGGATTGGAGGAAAGGCATATAAGTATATATATATTACTTAAAGTATTATAAAAATGCTTTTTATGTTAGTGGTCTGTAGTACAATACATTTTATAGAGATAAAGTTATTGGTCACTCTAGTCTTATATACTTCATTAATATGTGTGGTAAATAAATTGTCGCGCCTCTGTATGATACTTTGTATAATAGCTAACAAACTATTTTCCGTTTTGGGCATTTCTAACAAAGAATGCAATATACGAGTAGCTATATTTTACATGTTGTAGACCTCTTTAAACCTAGAACGGCCTTTTAAACATTTATCATAGATCAACCAATACAAGTAGACTTCTCATCCTATTGTAAATTTAGAAGCTCGTTTTTCCTGTATAGTTCAAGTCTGGCGACACTGATCGCTAGTGTCGTCGAAATTTTGTTTATATTATTTTAAGATTAAGAGTGTGACTTCTGCTTTGCTGCTTGGTTATATAACTAGGGGACAAGTTATTGTTTGTGATTATATCGTTTTATTTGGTTTAACGAGGTTTTAAATGACTGCAAACACAAGAAACAAATTGTAAACAAAACACGACCTCGGCTCTGCAGTGCACCGGGCACAATTAAAAATAAAATTGGCTTCAGCTGTTCCATGAGGATGAGAAATTTAATACTTGATATTCGTCGGCGATTCGTGACACTGATATTTTTTCTTATTGATTTCACCTAGCAAAATAGCAAAGAGTTATTTACCATAAAAAGTTTGTAAATTTAGAAAAGTAATTTATTCCTCGTGTTTTTGGTTCTTTCTGACAAGGTGTTATTGAAGAGAATTTGATCTTTTACAACCCTATGACGGGCATTAATTTTTAGGGTGCATAGTTTAGGAGTTACCTTGTCAGAAAAAAACAAAAAAAAAGAAAAATATATTTTCCTATATTTACAAACTTTTGATACTATATAATTTGAAAACCATGCAAGATATAAAAAAATTATAAAGTCCAAAACTTGCTGGTAATTTAATAAGCTTTCATTTTGTATAGGACTTAATTTCGCTTGGACACATGGTTTCCGAGATTTAGGAAAAAATCTGAAAATTGTACTTCCAAGCCCCCCCCCCCCCCCCCTACTACCGGTACCACAGCACAAGGGGTAGACGCGAGGGCTTTTGGTTGGCCTTATAACTATACTAAACAAAGTTAAGATGTCAGAAATTGTGTTCCAAACATTTCCTCACCCTTTTAGAGCATTCGTTGCCTGGACTTGGACTAATGAAACCCCGATTTTTCCGATATTTTATGGGGTTTTTGGGAAAAATCGCCACTAAAAAGAAAAATTCTAAAAATGAAAAACACCTGGAGTAACATGGATTAGTACCTACTGAGTGACATCAAAATCCGACCACTGGTGTAGCCTTTAGCTACGTACACATCCATAGAATCACAAACGCATACATACATCACTTCGAAAACCACTTATATGAATTCAGAGGGATCCAAAACATATATTTCCACCTAAAATTCAAACTCGCAAATTTTGACGAATAAAATAATTTCTCCATATACTGTCCGCACTAAAACTATATAAAACTCGCGTGTCGAAGTGCCCAAACACATTAAGAGTCACTTTACCCTTGACATGTTTACACAGCATTCCAAGATACTACAAATGGAGCGTAATGGGTAATTGTGATTAGAAGTTGCAGTGCGACAAATTGTAGCCTCGGCTAGCAGCCGCATTTCCACAAGTCAGCGGCTAGCAGCAGTTACTCAGCGGCTAGCAGCAGTTATTCAGCTGCTAGTAGCAGACGACTCGGTGTTGTTAATGAGATCGGATAATGTCAAGTGCGGCGCAACGACGATAGTTGATAGTTGCAGACTTTATGAGTGCCATTCAGGAAAATCCATTAGTTTTGAGGTGGAGTTTGCTGCAATGATGTACTTTAAGAGGAATTTTACTCAACTTTGTTTTATGCTATACCTCTTAATGTACCTGATTAACACATAAAGTTATCATAGTTGTTAGGATGTATTCAAATCTTTGGATGGTAGGCTGTGTTTGAGTAGATCACTAAACTAAATTTAGAGTTACTGATTCCTTTTTAGTCGTTTGTAGGTACTTTCGGTGCAATGATTTTCATTTTTCAGCTATTGCATACATATTTTGGAATCATTTTGTGTAGTTACTTGGGAAATGTATATTCTTGTACTCTGTCGAATGTATATTCTGGTTTTGAAAGATATCTTCTGTATTCTGACTACACGATCTTTGCCAATACAGAGTCACTTTCATCTCATGAAAAATATCAGAAAGTTACAATTTGACTGTGGAAACCTACCTTCAGTATCGTGTATTCTCTTTACTACCGTCAACTCTTCAAGTATGAATTCTCATTCTCATATGCTTTGTATCGTATCAATATGTAACATACGTTATGTATAATTTACTCAGTGAATCATGCACTTAGTACATACGTGGATATTAACTTGAAATATAAAAATTATGTTAACAGCAGACACTATGTAGTACTGAACTATGAACCGCAAACATTATGATTTGTCCTTTGATAGCCCTTTCTAGTAGGAGACTAGTCTCAATAGAAAAAGCGAAGCTTTCAATTGCTTCAATTTAACTAGACAAATGTTGGTACACAAAAAGTAAATGCTCCAATTTAAATATTTAAAAAGACGCATCTTTATGTTTTAGATTTTAATTTTGAACAATACAACTAAAGTGCAATGTCCTGAAGGAGTTTATTTATAAGCAACGCAGATGACATGCGTGATGACACAGATGTGTCCCGACTAGAAACTACCTGCTTGGGCGTTATCAGCTGACGAGCGGCTGATTGAAACAATCCGATTGTTGTGAGAGATTACAACATGTTGGTGAGGAAGAGCACGTGCTCTTCTATGATACAATGTGTGAAACACTGGTTGAGTAGATGGTTCATGGGTATTGTCATATATTAGAACTCCCTTGTAGGTTAGTCATCATTACGGAGCTGAAGACATGGTGTTTTCGACCGGTAAATGTAGCTTTTTCATTTTAATATTTATTTCTTGTTTACCAAATTCTAAACGATTTAAACTAACGACAATTTTACCTTGAAAATACTGCTTGTGCTTTTGTAAAGAGTAAAAGCGCACACTGAAAGCCGACAATGTTCCAGTTGTCCTCAGCACTTTATAGCACTTTTATGGAGAAGGGTTGACAAGTCGTTTCCGCCGACTCAGACCAACCATCAAGCACTCGTGTCAAATACAATGTCTTTAATTGAACAGGCGAAGTTTTTAATGCTAAAATTTATTATTCAGACCCCTCATTTTCCATCGCTAAGCCAAGCCTATGAGTTGAATTGAAGATGCGAGATAATGGAATGCTATAGAACATTGAGATTCCACCCTACCAACAAAGACCCAGCATACCACAATTATCGTAGCTTTAATCTCTCCTTGCCCCTCCCCCTCTACCACAATGTGGGGGTGGTGAGAGGAGGGCCCGTCGTCCAAAACCCTGGGAATGAGTGCAAGAGCATACCTTCCCACCGGTATAGAACAGGGGTTAGAATACTTAACCTACATCAATTGAGATCCGAGTAACGCTTAGGTCTTTGGTCAACAAACTTCTTTGGTAAAAGCAAAGATTACTGAAATAGGAGGTGGCAGGATAGATGACACTGCAAAAAAAAAACATCACGTACCTTTGACTCAGCGAAGAAGAAATTGATTGTTGTTTTAAAAGGTTTTACTGTACAATAAAGGTAAATACTGTTTATTGTTCGTTCAAGTAACAAGCATGCTCACCTGAAATGTTTTCAGTTTGATTCAAAAAGTATTTTAAGCACCTTTGGACGGTTGGTAACTGAGACCATTTGATAAGTAACCCTGTTTCTGACTGAGACAAGAGACAAGCAATAGAAATTAACAAAAACCAACAAATAAGTTTTAAAATATTTTAATTACAATGTCATAAATTACTGTACACTGGAATCAGCTTCAACGATGACATTCCCTTGGTCGAACTTTGTCTTGATGGTGTCATGCTTGATGGTTGGAGGGAGGGAGACTTTCGTGTCCATCCCATGGAAGAAGTCACTCTTCTAGAAAAAAAAATAAAAATAAAAAAATCTAGACATAAAAGTGTTTGGTCAAACCACTTTATGAAATTTGATTGAAAGGGTATTAGTCACCAGTAAATTGCCTGGTAAAGTAAAGTTGCAGGACGCACCATAGAATCTACTAGTAGTAGCACAATATTTATTTTTAATAAGGATTCTAGGATGCAAAGATTTCCAGTCAAAAGGCTGAAAAAGATAAAACTCCTTTGTCATAGATACACTGTCCTCTACTCTCAAGCCGTCTGATCTCATCAGTTTATTAGCGCCTAATTGGACTACGACTACTCACACAATCTATAAGATCGTGCATTGATTGAGCCAAAGAGTTCCTTAACTGCGCTTAAGCCCTCAAAGGGTGAAAAAATGTTCCTTAGTTGCGCTAAATCCAAGCCAGGTATGGGTGAGTTGCCGGCAGAAGGAATGTCCTTGTTTACGTGTCATCCTAACCTATCCTAAGATAACCTAACTTAACCTAACCTAACTTAACCTAATCTAACTTAACCTAACAAAACTCAACCTAACCTACTTAATTATACAGTCAAAGAGGACCGCCACTTGGTGCAGTTATGAACGTATTGGGTGGCCCTTTGGAGTAGTTGGCGCAATTCAGGAATACCCGACTATCAGACTTAGGTCGGTTGGCGCAATAATGCCCACCCACTTATATACTTACTCCAGTTTTCTCTCCTCTTTTCCCAACGATCGTGATATGGTCTTCTTGTATTGTGTACTGAACCTCGTCTTCTTTGAAGGGTTCTACATTGACCTTGAGTGTGTACTTCCCCTTGGTCTCCAGCTCGGTTACAGTCAGGTTGCGGATGGCCTTTAGGAATCCAGGCAATCGGGGTTGTCCTACAACAACGCCAAATATCTTCATATGAAGTTTGTCTCAATCACAGTAACACATATGGGACCTTATAGTCTGCCTCTGTTTTTCCCTTTATCCCGTAATTGTTTCAACATTACTTTAGGTTATTTCTAGAGGGGATCGCAGAATTATCACTTAGATAAAATCAATTGGTGTTTGGCAGGATTTGAACTCGGGACTTCGTGACCTAAACCCCGTGCACTACCACTAGACCAGCTATCCCCCCCTTTCACAATGTTTCGCTGACATGTTTCGGTGTTTCAGATTTGAATAGTATGAACTGGAACTTTGGCTTGCTGCTACAGGGATACTGTAGTAATGAGTTGTATATGAGAATGAGGTGATGAGTGTAATGAGAAAATATTAGCAGCCTCTGAGTAACATTAATAATAACTAGAGGTCGTCCAGTGGTCGAAACTCGACCAAAAATATTTAATGTACAGACTTCTTTATTTTCATTCCAAACTTTGAATAGAACATGTGATTGGAGTTTCTTCCATTTGTTTTGATTTTCTGTTTATATTTCGTTGTTATTTCGTCACCAGCATGGCAACTCATAATATCCATGTTAAATTTTTCAGAATTTTAAATTCATTTTTTGTGCTTATTTTTGAGCCTATTTTAATTTATAAAGGGATTCTGCACACATACAGGAAAATAGCTTTCTAACAGTATGCGTAGATTTTCCCTACGATGCACACGAGCTGAGAAAAAAGGTTTTAAAGAAACATGCTTGCCTATTAATATATAGATTATTTTATGATGATCTATCTATATATTAATAGGCAAGCATGTTTCTTTAAAACCTTTTTTCTCAGCTCGTGTGCATCGTGGGGTAAATCTACGCATACCGTTAGAAAGCTATTTTCCTGTAGGTGTGCAGAATCCCTTTATAAATTTAAATAGGCTCAAAGATAAGCACAAAAAATGAGTTTAAAAATTTGAAAAAATTAACATGGATCTTATGGTTGCCATGCTGGTGACGAAATAACAACGAAACATAAACAGAAAATCAAAACAAATGGAAGAAACTCCAATCACATGTTTTATTTACAGTGTGGGGTGAAAATAGAGAAGTGAGTAAGTTTACATTACATATTTTTGGTCGAGTTTCGACCACTGGACGACCTCTCGTTTTACTTATTGCATGCGTTTTACCGTACCACAAAAAACAGAGCAGCAAAATAAGTTTTCAAATATTTTTGTTTTCTGATGGTTACCTGCATTCACATTAAAGTTAGCTTTCAATTAAATCACTTCTAAATATTTTTATTCTATAAAATCAAAACACTAAATGTGTATCCATACGTATATAAGGTAAATACCATAAGCCTATAAAATTAGTCTTATGGTTTTAGAAATAATATCGAGCCATTGTCAATTAGTTTCTTTAGATATCTCTTTAAAGCTTGGTCCGTTTTGAGGGGTTTTGTTTGCTTTTATTAAAACCCTTATCGGGGAAACTAATATGCATATATTCATTATCTACGTGTTCACTATGCTAATTTAAACTAATGTCTAACCCTTAATGGTAATATTCAATATTCAAACTTATATGTATGCATTACTTATTAAGGGAACAAAAACTTAGGAAATACAGTTTGATGAAGCCTAAAAACGACTTACCCAGTATAGCCCTTTTCACTAATTTTGATAACATAATGCTAGGTAGTATTTTCAAAAACTTCAAATTTATAACGACAACGAACCTAACTATTTGGATGTTTTTTGTTTACTTACAAAAATAACAACACCCATATGATAAGAATAACGAACAAAAAATCTTTGCTACATTGATTTCATTTCTAAATACACTGATATTTGAACAGAGGACTGTATGGAGATCATTAACTTAACAAATGGCGTTTTTGGATCGAATAACCAAAATATCTGGTTTGGAAGATTTTTGCTGGTTCCAATAATATTATTACAAACATGTTTACATTTGGCCAGTTGTTGTTATACAAAGTCATAAGCTGTTAATATTTTTGTCCATGCCTTTTTCTGTTCAAATACTCGTGCTGATTTCTGTGGCTAGGCTGGGTTGGGAGAAACATAATATGCTTCGCGAGTATAGCTGTCAATCTGTTAATAATGCGTTTTCTTTTTTCACTACTGTATGGTCTGTATGAGTATGTTTACGCAAGTGTAATTTTTAAAGGACTGTTTTAGCTGTAACCTTATAAATTGTAGTATACAGTATCGTGGTGCAAAAGACGTATTTGAAACAATGTACAAGCACAAATTTACCTATAGTTTTGTATATTTGCATCCAAGACACAAACATAACCTCACAGTTCTTTGTTAGAAAACACAAGGTTTTGCTAAACAGTAAATACTTTCCAAAACGACATTTCGTGTCCAGAAGAATCAATATTACACTTTGTATACTGTTCAAACACTTTTAATTTTACAATTTATGATCGATTTCGAGCGTTTCCTACTGATAAATGAGCGACCAGATAGTTTATCAGGGCGAACGTTGGTTCCTCAATTACTTCGAAGGTGTTTGAGCGTTTAACTCGTGTTCGGCTGGTCTCAGCTGGTGACGTCATAGCCCTAATTGAGGGGCGGTTTGACCCTTGACTCTGGGTCATGGTGGGAAAACAAGCCTCTTCCCAGCCCCCCCCCCCCCCCCCAACACCACGAAAGCGAAGTCCCGACCAACTGACTGTCCAACTGTAGCGACTCCTCGAGCTCGAAAAGTTTGGCAATTGTAGCAGCGAATCTGCTAAATTGGAGGTTAATGTTTAGCCACTGCTTTGTTTTACGTGAAATCAAATGTGTTTTCTGTCTGTATGTCCTTTAACATAGACTTAAATACAGGCCGCTGAAAGACAAAAGACCCTTTTAGAGCTTGGAACTCTATGGCGCAATTAATGCACGACCATTTTAACACGGCTTCCCTAATGCAAGTCCAGCGATGGTGTGTGGCAACTACCAAGTTGCTGTGTATGTCCATCAGTCTCACTCAACCGATAAAATCACCAATACACGCCCTCATGCTCGATTTCGATCACACGCATTCCAGTAACTAGGAACGATTACTACTTACATTATTATGTTCAACAGGCGTCTCATTGCTTTGCGAAAACAGAAAGTAGTTGCCTCTCAATCATTCTGCGGAACGTGGATAATTATCTCTCCTAATCAAGAGAGTTAAATCGTGGAAGCGAGAACTTGCGGTGAAAGTTCCTCCGCACGTAAAGTTCACTGACAGAGACTAGCTGCATGGTTAATTAAATTGTTTTATTAATCGAGGTAAAAATATAGGTATAACAAATTAATATTTGCTGCTCTAAACATTTTCTGTTTTTCGCTACTGTGTTTCCTAGTGTAGTCCGGTTTGTCTTGTCTTGAATTCCTTCCTACATGAAGACAGTGGCTGATTCCAGATCCCAAGACGTCGTGGGACCTTTGTTTTATAATTCGTGATAGAAAATGTCGGAAGAAATAAAAAAAAAACAGTATTGAAAAAGAAAGAGTAAAATTAAATTATGGCACATTTTTTATCCCTGAGGTCACTATTGTTCAATCTACGATGCAAGTTACTGGAAGAGATGAGGTTTATTTCATCTTGTATGTATTGACCTCTTACGGTAATAAATATGTTTATACAGGCATTTTTCGATCTAATGATTAGATCTTGATCTCTTGGTCTTTGACTCGTCATCAGTAGATAAAATAGGACAATATGACCCCACTTTCGGCGTTTTTGGACCCAGGACTTTTGAAATTTTTTGGCGAAAAAACACCCAAAATAGGTAAAATATGATGGTTTTACCCTATTTTTGGCGTTTTAGAGGCTATATGGGGGCATTTTTTGGTTAAAAAATGTTATTAATACTGAAAAAACAAGCCTGGAAATGAAGAGCTTTTTTTGACCACTTTTTTTAAAACCCAGCTCTCGGCACGTGAACTCGGACGCGCTCCCGACCCATAGGTTACTTCTGATCCCCAGCGATGACAAACTAAAAGTCTTATGAAAAAATGTTAGAAACAAAAATTGAGGAACATCTAATCATCTATACTTCTTCCACTGAAAGTTTTTCTCTGACCGAAAAATAAAAAAAATCCTCGCTTACTTACTTTTTCATGTTTGCTTTGAGTAACCTTTTTATATTTTCCTTAATTGATAATTATACAGTGGCATAAATTAAATTATATTTATATTGTATTAAACAGTAGTTTATGAAGAATTTTAATATATAAATTTTATGCTATAAATATTTTTTTTAGAAGCTAGACAAACATGTAAGTGATAGGAGGCGCATCACTTTGAACATCGTCATGCCCCCGACAGTGCCGTGCTGGTAATACCTAGAGTTTGAAACTATTGCTATTGTTGAAATTATATTATTATAACATATTTACATACAAAAGAAACTGGTAAATGGTTTTAAATTGTTTAACTTTTTATGCTGTATTATTATGTTGAAGGCTATTTTGGTTGCTGGAATTTTTAGCTGTTTTGTTGTATATCAAGCCTTTTTTTAGATATAAGTATTTTTAAACAATAAATCAGACCTTTATTTACTAATGCTATTATTATATTACAATGCATTGGCATACAAATGAAAATGGTTTGATTTATTTGTACTCATATAAAATAATATAATTCTTTTGAGTTATAGGGATGTCTGGTGATTAAATCACAAATTTAGAATATTTAATAATGGACTTTTAAAATAATGGAATTAAGTATAGACTTATAACATTTTCATGATAACTGTTTGATTTATTTGTACTCATTTAAAATAATGTTAAAATAGTATTTGATTTTTATGTTGTATTATTGTTTTTTGTTGTTTAAAAGTTGGAACTAATATAGTGTACCTAAATTTAACCATTTGTCGTATCTCAAGCAGTTTTTTGAGAAATAAGCATTTTAAAACGATAAAGTCACACCAGTAATGCATGGAGTTTGTAACCATTACCAACACTGATATTATGTTATAATACATTGTCATACAAATGGAACCATTTAATTTATTTACCAAATGGTACTCATATAAGTTTTAGATTTTTAAATTTTTACCCTGTATTATTGTTTTATATCAAAAGTTGAAATCAATGTAGTGTGCCTAAATATGTTTATTTACTGTATCTCAAGCAAATAGATAGAATAGGATAAAGAGGTGTTTTTGGTGTTTTACCTATGAGAATAACATGGGGAGATTTTAAGCCACTTTTTAAAAAATCGTGCTTATTTATACATTTCTATATAAATGTCCAACTCCAAAAATATTTTCAATCCATATTAATGTCTGTATCATGTGAGATTTGTACCAGTTGGTTTGAAATATTTATAAATATAATGTGTTGCTGGAATCACTTTAAATGGCAAGAAACACATAGTGTTGGGACCTCTGGTAAAATATTGGATTTTTTCTAGTTTGGATTAAATATTTGTGAAAAATTGAAAAAATATGTTTTTTACTCAACTATTTTAGCGTCTTGAAACATGTATTACCGAGGAATCAGGCAAATATTTCGTGCCGAAATTATATTTTACCTTACGTGAGAACTTGGAATCATTATTTAAACTCAGTCCTGCTCCACAGTATCATTGCAGGCTTGCTTCTTGTCCCAAGTGGTGAATTGTGTACAGTTTATGCGTGGTGCAAAGACTGGGTTTTCTTTTTAGTTGTGACCAGCTCATTCCTAAGAAGCTAGATGGTATCCACTTTGCCTCTGAACATAAGCAAATTGTAATCTTCAGTTTAGGACTTAAAATTAATGTCGGATGCTATGCCTCTTTAATCGGAAGTTTGGGTTGTGATGAGCTCAACCCCTATCACCAATATCAGCATAGATCCATTGAACTATTATGTGTTATTGTACTTTGTGCTGATTAATATGTGTTTGGTAAATTAGCATGGCACAACACACAATCCCACATCTTGCTAATCGTAGTTGGTAGTTTAACTTAGCAACGATAATAACAAATTATTATGTCATTGCATTATTATGTCATGTCGGGGGTCTATTTGGTGGTCAAAGTAGAAGTAGGGAGCATTGACTTTCTACAATCATGATGAGATATCCAGCCAGAGCCTCAGACTGTAATAAAAAAATAGATGAAAATGCAAACTCTAAAGGCCCTGACCATGTTGTATACTTCCAGGCTGGAACAACCTTTACTTGGAATATTGTATATAAATTGTTTGTATACATAAGACTCTTGTAGTGAATGTACTCTTTGATGAAAATACAAAATAAAGATGAAAACTACTTTATGCAAAGAAGAGAAAGTAATTGTGAAGGGTAGCTACAAACAATTGCATTTTAGTGAGCAATGAAAGTTGCTATAATTATTGGGATTGTTTTGGGTAAGTTTATAGATGTGCATTGTGTTTATAGGAATTAATCATAGTGGGGATGCCATTTACATCGAGACATATCGATTTAGTTAAAGTGATAAAACGAAGACCATGATAGTGGTGGATAAAGATTTTATTTGTTGAGCAATCGATATGAGAAGGAGTTTCTTGTTAAACAATAACCTGGAAAACCAATACAACATAATGCACTGTCATCCCTCATTGGTATTGTAACTTACAAGCTCTGTTGTTCTTTACTCATTTTCAAAAACATATAAATTATAAAATAAGCTATTTTGTTGTTTATTTTACTGTTATGTATTGTAAGTGTATATATTGAAATAAATGGTTAAATAAATGTAAGTTGAAAAATGAGCCTTATTTTGTCACTAGTTTATTTAC